GTGTGTGTGTGTGTGTCCGCGCGCGCTCTGTGGAAGTGAACAAAATAACCGGTGGGAAAAGGCAGCTTTTTAAGAGAAAGCAGGAAACATTTCAACTTCATGCTATTTACAGAGGTTCACAGATGCCCCGCCCTCGGTTTAATTAACTTCCATGAAGTGGCAGAATAATCTCAGTGGGCAGGCCGCTGAAATGACTCTTTTTTTAAATAAATATTTTTGAGCAGCCATGCTAACTTTTAACTGGGGGTGAAAGAGTTGAAAGATGCAATAGGGAACATTGTGAGCCCAGTGCTCTCTGGGTGCTCAACAATGAGAGAATAAAATCAGAGACTGTATAATTCTCAACAAATACTTAGCCTTGACAGTTACCCGGACTAATATCAGCTCATACAATTTCTTAATAAGTCCAGAAGCAGAAAAGTCCCATCTACATTATTACTAACATGAAAAGGCAAATGCCTGTTTCTAAGGATGTTTTTAACAAGGAGTTTTTGGCCTGGGTGATGTTTATTCTTGTTCCTTAATAGAAAGCTCTATATAGTACTTCATATTTTAGAGCACTTTTTAAAAAATCCACAGTATTGCCCAGCTTGACCCCAAGATTCTCATCTCCTCCGGGACAGGGATAGTGTCCAGGATCTGTTATATCCCAACCCTTTCTAGCTCATCTACTAACATAAGCAGGGCGCCTACAACTACAGACACTAGAGCTGTCTCAGTATGCCTAACATTGCAAATTGAGGTGGCTCTTAGAAGCCACATTTTTCTCAGTTAGTAATTATCTGAGGAATAGCTTATGAAAATGCATATGGAGCTCTCTACCAATATTTGGAGCTGTATACATTGAGATTTAAAACATTTGGGAAAAGAGGATAACCTGGAAATAGTGACTGATTATAGTAATACTGGAGTAAGGTAGAACTAATGGTTCTGTGTGAAATATCATAGCTTAATAACCTGGGTCCTGCTCTGCTCAGGAATTGCCTGGATCCTGTCATGAAAATTAAAATTGGTTCTGTCATGAAAATTAAGATTGGTAGGGCTGGTACTTTAGACAGGTGGACTCCCCAGATTTTCTTTCTTCGTGCTTGCTGTGGTCAGTAGTTGCTTCCTGCCAAGGAAGAATCAATATTTTTTGTCTCCTTCACCAGAGGAAAATGTGGCTGTGTGGTTTTATTTAGATAGATTGATGGCAGGTAAGGTAATAGAAATGAGGATTTTCCAGCTTGGGAATTTATTGGACTGTATTTCTGTTTTATTCCAGATGCCTGGCTCTATCATACTCGTAGGTACCCAGAGGCACTATGGAGATATGCCTTCAAAATAAGTAATTTTTTTTATTATTAAAGTGTTTGTATTTCATAACATGTGCATACTCCAGCTGGCTTAGTTACTCTAATGCTAGGGCTCCAGGTTTCACATGTTTGCAGGACCTTGAGGTGATCTGGTACAAGTAGTAAGGATTTTTTATGTTCCTTATTTTAAATCTAATCTAGCAACTGCTTTATTCAAGGAGTGTACATCAGAGGAAGCCAAAAGCCAACTGAAATAGTTCCTGCATGCAGTTTTAATCTTGTTTGCAATTATTTTGAAGGGGAGAAACCATCTGGATCCAGAGGTATGCAGCTACCCAGGTAGAAGGGACTAGGCAAGCTTCCTTCATCCTTCCCCTAGTTAGCAAGTTTGAGAAACAAAATCATTTGAGGAAGAATATGCAAAATAAAAGGTTTTGGCTAAGTTCCTCATAGGTACTATGCCATATCTCTAACTCCCCATCCCAGTTATAGCCATGGGGAACTGAAGGCATAAAGGCATAACTTACTCTCTTTTTATTTCAGTCCTTACTCAAAATAAGGTTTCCAGAGATCGAGGCAAAACTCAAAATACCTTCTATTTTAAGAAAGTATCCATCTCCAAGGACGTCAGAGCATTTCACCAGTAATAACTAATAACAGCCATTTTGCTGCTACAGGCTTCATCGCTGTGGTATTGTACTATGTGTTTTAAACCTTTTTCCTACCCAAGGTGTGTGAGTTCCTTAAGGGCATGGAAAGTAACCTAATCACTTTTACATTTCTAGTACCTGGCACAGTGCCTGGCACATTGCACACACTCAGTATATGCTACTGAAATAAAAAGACAGTGTGAAAACATCATTGGGAATGCAGCAAGGCAGAGAAAAGAATATAAAACAATAACCTTTTAAGGGGTTGCTAGATGTCGTTATAAATGCTGCAGTTATTAATGGTTTAATAAACAGCCTGGAATGGGGAAAGACATACAGTATTTGAGAATGCATAGTTATGGTTACCAAACTGCCTTCCAGGGAGATCTGGCCTGGTCAGTTGCAGGGCCTTTGTTGTTTTAAATGGAATATACAACCTGAAAGGCTTCACCAGCCCTGTCTCCACCCTCCCTCCAGTCCTGCCGTGCTCAACTCCTCACACAAATACCTGTTGAGTGAATATTTGAATAGTATCCATTTGAAGATGTACCAAACAATTAGCTTACCTAGGACACTCATATCTTGGTTTGGTCCTGCCTTAAGGGTAGAAGACATATGCATGGTCACTATTTTAAGGCTAGATTGCCCAAATAATATTGAAGGACAGCCACAGTCATCTTTTCTACTTTGCTAGCATTCCAAAGGAGTTCAAAGTCAACAGCTTTTTTTGTTGTAATTGGGCAGGCATGTGACATTTGCTGCTTCCTTCTGTTGCCAATGTAATTGCAGCAGAAATCAGAATGTTACTACTGGAAATAAATGAACTTCCTCTCATTGTTCCTGTACTTTTTATATTAATCATGAAATAATGGGGAATTGGCTTCTAGTTTAGTCAGGAGGAAGAACATGAGATTGAATTCTTTGATTTTTAACTTCACTTCTTAAAACATGTAGTTCTTCAAGTCAACCAAGAGAAAGGATACTGTTAATTAGTAAAAATTCAGTGGGTTAAGGCAGCTTAGGACATAAGACTAAGAAAAAATAAAAAAGAGTCTAAATTCAGCTTTGTTTCTCCAGGTTCAAAAATGAAGTTAATCTGAATCTTTTTAGATGTAGAGATCAGAACCTCATTCTTATAGTAAAAGAATTCTACCATCCAAAGCTGAGATTTTTGTCATCCTCTCCATCCTTAAATTAGACTTAAACAAATGTGGTATCTGTTATTTGGTATACTCTAAGTTTTAATGCATAGTTTTTTGAGATTTTTTTTTTTTTTTTTTTTTTTAAAGGGTTGAAACCCATCACAAGTGGGAAAAAAAAGGTTGAATTTGGAGATCCCTTTTAATTCTGAAAATTCTGTGTTGGTCTCATTATGTATAAAAATAGAACATTGTTCCAGGAGAAAATATAGAACACTGAACAAACAAATGCAGTATCGAAGACTTTGGTTGAACATTAGATTCTTTATCTGTAAAGCAAAGGGGATCTCCAAAGTCACTTCCTAGTTCCAAAATATTTTATCAGTGTTAGCTGTTAAGTAAGAATAGGATTCAGAGGATTGTAGAATTTACAAAACTGAGGGTTGCTAGGGCCTGACCTCAAGAATGGATGGTTTCCAACATTCAGATTGAGCGCTGTACTTCATGGGCCTACTGTACTGTTGGTATCACAAGTTCAAGGAAATGTTAGAGTTAGTAATTCAAATATTCCAAAGCCATTTGCTACAAAATGGCTAAAAATGAATGGAACATCTTTCAGGTCTTGTGTGGATAACTTCGCCTCTGGGGCAAGATGAATTGGAAATGGAGTATTAGTGATGAATGGAAGACATTGCCTGAATGGACAGATTCTGAATTTCAAACAGTTGTTTTGGGGAATGAGCTTGTGTGCTTGTTAAATAGCAAGGAAACTGGCATTACTAGCTGGGTACAAATAAGACGACAATGTTTTAGGGGAAGTGCCTTCTTTCTGGGTCAGTGTTCAGCAGCAGAGATGTCATCAAAGGGAACGGGCCGTTTGGTTAAGAAGGATAACGTGGGAAGGAGCCTGCGTAATTCCTTAAGCACTTTGTTCTCATTCCTTGAACCAGAATGATTTTGCCCTCGTATTGATGCTACCTTTATGGAATGAAGAGATTTTCAAATTGGTTTTTAAACTCTATTAAGCCCTCGTGGATGATATAACCCAACCACATTATTCAGGTTTTCTTGGCTTTCAGGAACAGCTTTGCAGCCATTATGTCATAATTGTACTGAACATTGTTGCACACTCTGAATTCAGAATATGCCCCTCTGGCTCCGGGCCAGGTGCTGAGTCAGTGTCTTTGGGGTTGAGGATAAGAGGAAGGGTGTAATATGCGCAAGCCTATGTGTTAGCAGGAATTAGTCCAGAATCCCCTTTAGAGCCCTGGGTGCAAGAGGGAGTATACAGTAACAGTACACTACTGTCCTTAATTAGTATCTCTATTTTATTTTTCTCAACCGAATGTTTTTCTGGAAACCCTTTCCTGACGTTGTAATGTGCACCGACCCCATTACCACGTAGACTCCTCTGAAGCAATGGTCTGGAAAGTGTGACTGCTCAGGTTCAAAGATTCTAAAACAAACTCCTGACACTAAAGATTCCTTCCCCCTCCCACTTTATATATGTCAGCTTGCTCTAGGCCTAGGAAAACACAGCACTGCTTCTGGATGGGGAGAATGACAGGATGATTAGGGTCTATCATTAAAAATCATTTTTGAAATAAATATAATGAAAGTATGATGCCAACATCTCTGATTTTAGAAAAAGTTACTTTAATGCCTAATTCAAAAGGAACTGTAATAAAATTAAAACATTTTAAAAATCATTTTTAAATGTGTCTAATAGTAAGTTAGAATAATAATTATTCTTTCTTTTCAAAGGCGCTTTTCCATCTCAGATGCTCGAACAGTTTCAAGACAAGTGCTGGGTCACTCTAATCAGCTCCCCATTTCCCTACTGTGTCCCTTCTGATGCCCAGGCTTCCCAGTTATAATTGAAGAGCTAGAAAAGTGAGTTTGTGATGAGCAAGTGCTTTTACCCTTCTGCCTGGATCTGTACATGAATTTTGGTCCTCTTTAAAAGGCCTGGCATTTTAAATCTACTTCAGATTCTTTGTTCAGGGCCTTCTGAAGTCATGGGCTATTGCCATGGCATTTCTACTGCTTGTGATTTCCAGAGGACATTTGATACCCAAAGCCTATAGGCACAGTTTCTCCAGGTCTCTGTTAAATAAGAGAACAGGACGAGGCCTAGCATTTCCACTTTACAGTAAAGATGAAACCGGCTTAAAGAGATGAGGAATTGCCCAGTATCTCTGAACTACTTAGTGGCGGCTGCCTATCTTTTGGTGCTTACTTTTATGAAATCCTCACCTAAAAATGCACCCAGGGAATTTCAAACATGTTGAATCCCAACTGAAACTCTATATGAAGAGCAGTTTTAAAACTCTAAATGTAGATTATTCTATATGTGCATTAATCCCCTGACTGATGATTTAGTGGGAGTTGTGTTCATTTAACTATAACATCTCTACACAATTTATTTAAAACTACTTTGGAACAAATTTTGTCTTTAAAGATGATCAGTAAAATCCTGGGAAGCCTCTATTTGGATATACCTGGGCTGAGAATATCATTGTTAATATAATAGAAGTACAGAAGTTTTCCATCATTGAAAATATAAAGGCAAGTATTGGGAAGGAGCCACTGGAGGGAACTGGTCTTTGTTCAAAACCTCAGCACTTCACAAATAAACTTCAGTACCCTGTTCTGTAATTCTATGATGCCTGAGTAAGCAAAGCCAATACCTGGTGCCAAGGTATTGGCTGGACTAGTTAGTCCTACCCAGACTTAGTGACATCCTTAGTAGAAGATAAATATTTTGGTTCTTTAATCAGTAATAGCCTGTCTTAGAAATTTCTATTTTAGTAATGTCCACAATTCAAAATTTTCAACTATGTCTGTTTGAAACATTTTTCAGTTTTGCAATTCCCCATTTCTGAGACTTTTTACACCTTCCATTTGAGGCTAGTTAAAAGCACATTTCAGTCAATAGAACTATCATCATTATAAATACTAATAACAATACCTTACTTGTAGTATTATTTAGTAATAATTAAGCCTTATTTTTCTATTCTGCTTTATAATTTATCCAAAGGTTTTTACATTTATTACCTCTTTTTAAAACCTCCAATCAACTTTTGCCTTCACTCTTCTCCCCCAACCCACAGCCTCCATTGTTACCAGAAATATCTACTTTTAGTTAAGGTGTTAAATTAGGCAAGAACCAGACAGGTATTTCATTTTAGGGGTTGGCATTGGTTGGAAGATTTCATTCATTGCACCAGCATCAGACATATCTGACTTGTAAATTCTTTCACTACGCCTATTCTAGTCCAAGTCCTCATCACTCTTTTTGACAATGGGTACTCCCTCATTCTGAAAACACTTTCTCCCATTGGCTTCTGTGATGACACTTCCCGGTTTTCATCCTACCTCATCAACCTTTTATTCTGCCTCCTTTGCTGGCTCCTCTCTACCCAACTTCTAAATGTTGAATTTCCTCAGCGATCTGTCCTGGGCCCTCATCTTTTTCTATATTATTTCAATGATCTCATCTAGTGCCCTGCCTATAAATACAAATCCTAAATTGACGGAGTCTCATATTTTTTTCTTCAGCTCTGACTTTTCTCCTGACCACCAAACCTGCATATGCTACTCTCTACTTGTCCCTAACTGAGCTCTGGGTCCCATACATCTCAATCTCTTCCTGCCTCCATTGTCCTTATTTTAGTAATGGCACTGCCACCCACCAGAGGCTCAAGGCCAAACTGAGAATGTCCTTACCATCATCTTTAATTCCTCATAGCCAATTCATTGTCAAGTCCTATTGGCCTTATTTTTGCCCTAGTCTACACCTTTCTCACCCAGGCTACTTTACTAGCCCCCTAACTGAGTCCCTGCTTCCACTCTTTTTTATTTTTTATTTTAAAATATGGTTTTATTGATTTCAGAGAGAGGAGGGGAGAAGGAGAGAGAGACAGAAACATAAATGATGAGAGAGCATCATTGATTGGCTGCCTCCTGCACACCCCCAACTGGGGATTGAGCCCACAACCCATGCATGAGCCCTGACTGGGAATTGAACCGCCACCTCCTGGTTCATGGGTCAATGTTCAATCACTGAGTCATACTGGCTGGGTCCTGCTTCCACTCTTGATCCTCAATAATTTATTCCTCATACAGCTGCTAAAGTGATCTTTTAAAAATGTATCTGAGATCATATCACTTCCCTCCTCTAAATCTAATTATACTTAAAATAAAATCTTGATTCCCTAACAAAACCCACAAGGTCTTAGGTGATGCAACTCTCACAGAACATTTTTGAACCCTGTCTCCTGCCACTCTTCCCCTTGTTTCTTGTGCTTCAGCCACTTGGTCATTTTCATTTTTTCTAATAAGTCAAGGTTGTTGTCACCTTAGAACCTTTGTACTTACTGTCCCCTCTCCCCTAAATGCCCCTCCTTCAGATGTTCCTCATCCTTTAGTCTCAGCAGAAACGACACCTGCTCAAAGTACCTTATTAAAGGACTTGCCTTAGTCAACATCACATCACCCTGTTTTACTCCCTCCCCTCTCTCTACTTATCACTGTCTGGTACTGTCTGACATTAAAGAGACTCTTCATTGTCACTAGAATATGGACCCCATGCGGGCAGATACCTGGCTTTCTTGTTCACCACTGAACCCAGCATCTATAATAACATCTAATAATGGGAAACATGAGATAACTTGAATGAATAAGTGAGTGACTCCTCCACACCTGAGTAGCCATAATCGGCCTCTCACTCTTCCCCACTTCCATCCCACTTTTCTCTGTAATCTCACCTGCATGCTGCTGCCACATCAGTCTTCCAAACTGACCTTATCACATCCCTCTCTCATCCAAAACCTTTCAGTGGTTCCCATCAAACAGGCCACGGCACTCCGTGCCTTTGTGTCTAACCCCAACACTGGCTGCTGCCTCCTTTTTTTACATATCTGAGTCCCACGTGATTCAGTTCCTCCCCTTGTCTCAGCCCACAGTACTCTTCTCTCCCTTTCTCATACCATTTACAGTGATCCATTATATGTCCCTGTTGTAACCTCTCTTGTATTTATCTTGTTTCAGTTAAGACTTTAACTCCCTGCCACCCAATACATTTAATTAAAAAATCAAAAATAATTTTAAAGGAGGAATTAACTAGTTTCTCCTGAATCCCATGAAGTACATCTCTCCATTATTCCTGTTGCTGCATGTGGAGTTGATTTCTTCACATGAGAGTTTTATTTGGAGGGAAAGAAATGGGCTAAACACCAAGCAGGATGAAGAAAAAAAAAAGATGGCTTAATTTTGCTGAGAATTTGAAGGGTGCGGAATATGGCGGCAGAGTACATGTACTAAGTGGTGGGTATGTAAATGCTATATACCGTCAGTTAAACAATGATTTTACCAGTTAGGCAAGGCCCACACTTCAAACAGTTTAAGAACTTTCCCACCGAGCAGTGTGTTGAATGTAAATTAATGTAGTGCCTGATAAATACAAACAGAGGAATGGAGACATCCAGATACTTGAAAATCCCACATCATGGTAATAATTTGAAGGAAAATAAAAGGGGTTCTTTCTCTAGGCACTTCTGTGACCAGTCATTCCTTTCTGGGACTGATTCTCCTCTGGCCTCTCTGGCCCTCTGTGTGGTGAACCTGCTGGCACTAAAACCTGGAAGTAGAAGCTGCAGGGAGTGTGGTGGACATGTGGTGTGAAAGGCTGCTTCTCGCTCCCCGGGGCTGGGTGATCATTTTGCAATGTGAAATCATTATGTTATATAGCTGAAACTAATATAATGTATGTCAAGCATACCTCAATTAAAAATTTAAAAAAGAAGCTGAACATGAGGCCATGTACAGGTGGGCCAACAAGTGAGTGGTTAGCTGGGGGTCTTTGTTACAACATCTTGTCTGAGTTCGCTCCACCTCCTATGCAGTTCCCCTGGTCAGGTACCCTAAATCCTGAGGCTGAGGTGCTGGAAAAGTACCTAAGATCCTACGCACGCCAGTGAGTGAGGGCCCCATTGCAGGTTAGGCTTTCCACTCCTACCCCATTTCTGTTCTATAGCCTCATTCTAGTCCTGCTTAGCCCCTTGGAATTGACATCTCAAAGTATCTGCTCAGTTTTCAGCTTCGGCTGTATCCCTACATGCTGCCTTGCCTTGTCACTCTTGGCTCCACACTTGTACCCAAGATCCCAGGCTAGTCACCCACTTGTGTGAGGAGAGGAAAGTTTGGACACAGCCGACTGACCAAAAAGCACATAAGAGCATTTGTCCCTCTTTCCCTGGATTAGGTAGAGCCCAGTGACCCAAATGAGTCCCTAAGAGCAACCTCACCTCATTACATAAACTTTCAGTAATCTAAAATAATGGATTTTGTTCCCAATAGGTATGTGTGTGCAAGTGTGTGCTTATGTGTGTGTGTGTATTTCTAGTCATTTGGGTAAAAATAGGAATATTATACTTAGATGGTAATGAATGTGAAATGAGCATTTAACATCCCACATGGCACAAATGGCTAAATGGAACCCTGAGCCTCTCTTTATGGAATAGGTTCAGTGAGCGCTACAGTAATAATGTTTGGTTAATGTCAGCTCAGCATTAAATTTACATTACACTCTTGTGAAGAAGCTCCCACATTACCTGTTAATAAGCAAGGTGGTACTTGGGCTTAGATAGACTTTCTGATTTTGCACATGAACCAACACTGCAGCTTGCTGATGAGGGATTATGTGAGCTTGGAGATTTGGTGTGCCAAAGGATTCTTTGTATGAATAAAAATTCTGGTCAGTGAAGGTCAGTTTCTCTACTCAAGCGAGAACAATGGTATTTCCCTTCTAATCAGACACACACAGTGTTTGAAGAATCCTACATAAGTGATGTGCAGCCATAGTGTGGTCAGCATCTCATGTAAGAAATGAATAATCCTTAATAGAGGCTCAAATGACCCTGGCTTTTTTCTGTACTCTAATCAGTTGCTCTAATGGTATGCCTTCAGTGCTTCACAGGGAAAATGCTATAGAGTTAAGTTATCTTCATCTTGCTTCAAGGAGGGCTGAATTGGTCCAATCAGTCCTCCCCCCATGTTGTACTTGATTCTGCTATAAAGACCACTGCAGTCTGCCTCAGTTTTGTTGAAAAGCCAGCATTCCCTTTCTCTTTCAGGGTGATATGCCCCTGAGCAGCAGTGGACTTGAAACAGCAGGAGTCACCATCTTTATTGTTCGGCTGTGCAATTTGTTTTAGGCACATTCTAAATCCAGTCTTATACCTTTTGCTTTTTTTTTTCTTTGTCTGTGACAAAGGTGACCCAATTGTGCTGCTTTGATATTATGAACACAGCTCTTTTTGCTCATATCACAGAGGCATGTAACAAAGTACAAAGGATAAAATTGTGTCTCTGCGTAGTAAGGACACATATTTCATGACTAAATTCAATGACATAATCAAAAAGGTGTTGTCCTCTCACAGTCATGAGCTAACTGGCAGAGACCGCCTTTTAGAATATTTTTTATAGTGCTGAGATACTGTTCAAAAATAATAGAACTAATGAAAATGTCACATTGACAGAGTAGCCTGTATTAAGATTTTACTTCAAGGAGGCATGGTTAGGTGAATGTGACTTTGACAGCCATGGCGTCAGGGTTTACAGAGTTAATAAAATATTCTGAGACTATATAGAGTTCCAATTGGAGTGTATCACTTTTTAATTTGTCTTTTTTATTTCTAGAACTAAGTGGACTCCAGTGTTCAGAATTTTAGCCTTATTGTCTTATTTCTGCCTAGGAGAGGTATATGGAGCTTTTCCTTTATATCATACTCTAATATAATTCTATCATATAAAGAAATAATTTAACAATGTGATAAAATGCATGTGCCTTAGGGCATTTGGAAAATATGCAGATAGTAACATTACATAATGCTAATGCATTTCTCAGTAAAAAATGTATGATGTTTAAGTGATAAAATACATCTAAAAAAGTAGACATGGAGACTAACAGTGAAGAAGGTTTAGTTTTAAACAAAATAGTTGTAGCATCACTGAGGACTTTTCTTAGCTCTCTGGGTTGGTTGAACAAATATTCCAGCAAATCTGGAATGAATAGCAACTCTGTTTACTATGACAGGCTTTATTTGTCTTGGGTACGACCAAGACCACATGCTGTGTTTTGTCATGTTGGAAATACTGAAGCAGATTTCCATTGTGAATGTGAATTTTTTTAAAAGCCTTACCACCTCATTCTCAACTCAGCGAGGTAAAAGCAATATGTTTTCCTTTCCTTACCCAGCCAGACATCAATAAATCTTAAATCCCTCCACCAAAAACATGTCGCTGCAGTTCAAGGTCCTGGTTGTAGTCTCACATCACTACCGTAGATGGCCTGATCCTTCTCATTTCCAAGGGCTGTCTTTCTGACTTTCCTCTAACAAAACTAATTTTTAATTTCCTTTCTCCTCCATATAGTACAGCTTCCTTAACTCCATACCCTCCAAGGATATGCTACTGCTGGCATAGGGTCTTCCCCAAACCAATGATGCAGAAATGTCTACCTAGTATAGACACAGCTAACATTCTACTTCCCCCTCATTTATATACTGTGTAGACAAAGCCATGATTAGCAGTTGTCTCCAATCACATTCACCTTTTGGAGTTGTTGATTCTGCTGAATTTATGGAAAATGTCAGGTCTTAACACTTAGTTGAGAGTGGCACAGGATATTGTGAAATTATTTAGATCCATTTTCTACCTTGGAATAATGCTGGGTAGCAGATCCTTGCAAAATTCTCATCACATTCCTTGTTTATGTGTTATCGTGATTATTTAGTTAGCAGGGAGATTTAGGAAGAAGTAGAAAACTAAGGGTTTAAGAGTGAAGGAAAGATTATTGTTTTCACAGATTAGGATCAAATCTTTTTGTCCTATGGCCTCTGTTCTAGTTTGATATGGATTGGTGTTTTTCTCTAAAGTCATATTATTCTGTGTGAAATGAGTTTAAGGCTAATCTTATACTGAGAATCCTGGTCACCAGTAGGGATTAGCATGTAATTAATATGGTCATGCTGTGGAGCAGAGCAGAGGGAGATTTGAGGTGGTAGTGAAGGGTTGGAACCAACTGTGACATCCTCACCCACAATTTTGTGGACACCCTGAGAAGCACTAACCTTTAGTTATGATATAAGATGCACCCAAATAGTAACTGCTGTGCACAGTGAGTGTCTGATCAGGGTTAGAGGTGAGACTAAAGAGGGGGGGAAAGGCTCACTTCAATACTTTTAACATTCAAATAAATATTTGAATACCTACTATGAGCCAGATTAATTGTAGATGCTTGGGGATGGATACTGGGTGAACAAGCACCTGCTCTTATGGAGCTCTCATTATGGTAAAAGAGACATACAGGTAAAGAAATAGTTTTAGATAGTGAGTATAAAAGAAAACTATAGCAAGGTATGAAGAGAGAGAGTGGTGGGCTGACCAATAATAATTGTAAGATAGTTACTAAGGCATCTCTAAGGAGGTGGCATGAGTCCATCCAGGACAAATGAGGAGAAGCTACTTAAGGGCTTTTCATACAGAGGGACAACAAGTGCAGAGATCCTGGTGAAGAAATGATCTTTGGTCATTCAAGGAACAGAAAGAGAATCTCTGTGGCTGCAACTTGCCAAGATAAAGGAGGGGAAGGTGACAGATGAAGTTGGAGAGCTAGAGTAAAGCAAAGTTATGAAAATTCCAGGAATTAATTCATCTTGGAAATATTGGTAAATGATAAAGTCAACAGTGCATATGTGTTTTAAAAGTGAAATGATCACATTTGTAGTTTTAAGGGCAAAGCTGGAGGCTCAATAGGATAACCTGGAATAAGTAGGGTATCTTATGTAGAACAAAGTAGCAAGATGAGGGAGCTTCAAAGTCTAGTGTTTGACATGCTGCTCTTATCAAACTGTTCTTATTAGAATATTTCCAGTAGAAACACTGGCACATTTGTGTATGTTTTCAAAAATGATGGCAATCTCCTTTTAAAATGCTTCTTAAGGAGTTGAGTAAATTTTTGTTTCTGATGAGTTAACTCGGCCTAATTCTCCCCTGTATTTCCTCTAAGTATAATTCTGTGTTTCCCATCTCTTGCAGCAGAGGGGCCTAGATCTCATAAGTGATAGCCCTGACCTTCAGCTGGGGACTTGTGCTGCTTACTTATATCATTTCCTGTACATGATGCTAATAAGATAAGCTATCTCAGAGAATAAAAACCATCTCAGGAAACATCCACATTTTAGGGGATCATCAGGATGCCGGCAAAACCTGCAAGTGAAATTTAATTTTGTATTCAAATGAACAAACCCATGCAGTTTGCTTACAGAAACCAAGTGATTAGCTGCACAGCTAATCCATAAATATGGATTTTTTCCCCATTCTAAATTCAGTTTTGTTTGGAATGTGGAGGCATGGTGGAGACTTGCCAAACATCTGGGCCTCTTTGACACTCCTGGACTTCAAGAAGCAATTCTGAAGCCTTCAAATTCCACCACAAGCTTGCGGCTTACTCTTCATAGTATAAAGAACAAAGTCTAGGGCACATAAGTTTACTGGTCTGTTTTTCTTTTGGCAGAAGTAAGATGCTCTGGTTTCAAGGAAATAGCATGCAACTTGCCAGATACTCCTTTCGACTCTGCCTGAGAAACCTCTCCGCCTCTAAGACGGTTCTGCCTGTGCTGACCTTATTCACAAAGGTACAGAGTGAAAAAGTAAAATTGCTACTTTAAAGACATAAAGTGTTAAAATTGTTGGGTGAAGAAAATAAGGAAGAAAATGGGGAGGGGAG